GGCGAGGCTGGAGGACGCTGAACTGTAGCCCGAGGAAGCCGGAGCCCGCGAGCCGGCCGCACCTTTGGTCCTTCGGTACTTGCCGAACCCACTGCAAAATTCGGAGAGCAGGTACACATCAGACATCAGCTCCCCTGGCCCCATTCCTACACCTGTGATGCTCTTGGATATACGATTGGATATAGATTTTTCTAGCACGCTATGCTTTCATTTTCAATTTATTTTTATTTTTTAACGCAGATGCCTGCAAAAATGCCTTTGAAATGTAAATCAAGTGTAGCTGTTGCATTTGCCTCCAGGCAAGACGCAGCCCGAAACAGGCAGAGAACGCTGAACCAACCCGACTCCTATTAATCCAATTAGAGTATCAGCATCAAGTGACACTTCGGGGTCAACAGCATTTAATGACTAATATTTTAGTAGATGGGGAGGTGAAAAGGGTGGGAGCAAAACCTACTGAGCCAGGAACTGCTGTTTGCTACAAAAAACACAGCGGAATGAGGAAAACAGAGCAGAGAAGGAGCCATTCCCGGAAAGAACATACGGTGGCAGAGAGCGAGGAGTTCTCATGAGGCAGACCACGATCTCACTCTGATCACGAAAGCAGTATTAAAGCAGCAAATGTAAGTAGTTAATGTACCAATGAAGCGTAACAGGCTTTAAAATTCAGCCGTGCCTCTTGAGGTGAGGGATTTACAGCGTGTTTTGGAGAGCAGGTTAGTGCATTTTTAAAGCTGTTCTTCCAACGGGCCTGAACTCCTAGCTGAAAGGTAACGCCGTTTCTGTGACACGTATAGACCGAGTGACCCCTGATTCAAAGAAATATTTCAGAAACGCAGGTTGTCCGCACAACTGCTCTGCTGTACCTCGTGTTCTCACACACCAAGTGATGCAAAACTTCTCGGCTGAGGGATTAAGTAACCCGGCCGTGCCCCAGCACAGGGAACTTTTATGTAATTCCTTTTTGTGCAAGGCGAGCGCCAAGCTCAGCAAACCTTTAAAAGGCACGACTGTAGGACCCAAATAACAACGTACAGCTCAAGGCTTCTCATGTCAACCCCCTTTTTGTAAAGAGGGCTTGGGGAGGGCACAACCTCTCCAACCATTTCTCCTTTTTCATTCACTCCCTTTCAGCGCTGATGAGCCATCAGGTTCTGAAGTTCTGAAGCACGAGCTTCAGCACAAACTGCCGCTGGTTGAGTCAGCAGGCTCCTGGCTACGCGAGCTGCTAAAATAAGGTCGTGGACTCGCACGAGGCCCAGCCCAGCTGCTTCATCACCCCGTGACAGTTTGGTGGCAGATCAGCCCTGAAAAGCTCAAGACCAGCCAGACTCCTGGATCCAAACGCTACGCTCTTGATGCGGGCATCGCCTTGTGTGGCACAGTCACAGGGAGAATCTGAATTATCACGGGACTGGTAACTGAAGTGCAAATATTCCATCAAACCTTTGAAGTTGAAGCCCACTTTATGCTTCCAAGCACAGAACCCAGCCAGCCTGCTAATAACAGTAAGGGCAGCACACTGATATTGACTGCTTGTGGCAGTCAAGAGTAAGAAGCAAAGGGCAATTGTGAAATACCTTTCCTCATCAGGAGCTTTTTAAACAAATAATGCTACAAAACTGAAGTAGAGACGTTGTTAGGAGGTACCTGGATAGTTTTAATGTCATTCTTAGAGCCCCTACTTAAAAAACCACAGTAGGACACCAGTGCAAGCCTGGGATCATCATCGTGCTCTTCTGGACAAAGCTGAAGAGTTAAAAATGAACACAAGCATCTTACCCTTTGGGCCGAAACTGCTGGCTGCCACCACTACACGTCTTTTTCCTCTTTGATTCTCTGAAGTTTGGCGGCCTTTTCCTCTTTCTTCTTTGGTTGGCATTATTGCAAAAATAGCTCGAGGTCGTAACTACATCTTCTGCCTCTTCATCGCGCTCAGGGGTGCTCATGCCTCCCGTAGCTGTGTCCCCGCTCTGGCAGGTGGCATCATCTATGGACAGACAGACAGCGAGTTAAAACTCACAGAATCCAGACGTTGCCTGGGCCAGTCAGAACTGCCAGGCAGAAGGCTCCAGCTGCACTAAAACTTCTGTCCTTGCTGTTCACAACCTCTTCAGGCTGGCAATGCTTCAGGCTCAGCTAAAGGTGTTTTGTGGGTTGGTGTAAAGGGCAGAAGGCAGAACTGGTTCATCTCATGACATGGAAAAATACCAGCCAGCCCTTTTCTCTAGCCTGGCTTCTTGTCTAAGTTATTTTGTGAACCCTGGGCTTTTGGGGAGGAGCGGCTGGAGAGCTGCCAGGCAGAGAGGGACCTGGGGGTGTTGACAGACAGCCGGCTGGACATGAGCCAGCAGGGTGCCCAGGCGGCCAAGAAGGCCGATGGCATCCTGGCCTGTATGGGGGATAGTGTGGCCAGCAGGAGCAGGGCAGGGATTGTGCCCCTGTACTCGGCCGCACCTCGAGTGCTGGGTGCAGCTCTGGGCTCCACAGCACAGGAGGGACATCGAGGTGCTGGAGAAGGTACAGAGAAGGGCAGCCAGAATGATGAGGGGACTAGAGGTCAGTCTTGTGAAGAGAGGCTGAGGGAGCTGGGGAAGTTTAGATTGCACATTAGGAAAAAATTCTTCACAGAAAGGGTGGTGAAGCACTGGAATGGGTTGGAGTCACCACCCCCAGACGTGTTTAAAAAACAATTGGATGTGGCACTTCAAGACATGGTTTAGTGTTAGGGTGGTGTAGGGCTGGAGGTTGGACTCGATGATCTTAAAGGTCCTTTCCAACCTTTATGATTCTATGATTCTGTCTTTACTTTCCCCCCTGCCAGCTGGAAGGAATTACAGAGTATACCAGAAACTCTGCAGTCAGGCGTGGCGCTTGTTTTTAAAAACAGTATCAGGAGACACCGGAAGGCTCAGGGAGCCAAGAGCTCCTTCTCCATCAGTCACCAACTTCAGACATTGAGGCGTGCAATTTTAATTTGATGGCCAAGCCCTCTGAAGAAGTTTAATTCCAGCACAGAGTACTGGAAGCGACCAGATTGAGGAGTCTCGGGGCTCAGTTGCCCCCCGAGCTGAGCTCTGCGCAGAGGCACGGTACAAAAGCTGCGGGGTCTGAGCAGCGGAGTTATTACAGCCGGCTTTGAAAGCTCTTCACACGTGAGCAAGGGCTGGTCAGTGAAGACCTGAACTTGTTGACCTCGATTACTGTGACAAATAAAAGGTTGTCAGGTTTTGATTATCTGCCAGGCTACAAAGCTACGCATACAGAGCCAATGCAGGTGTGAAAATACGCAGGAGGTGCAAGACTTTTAACCGTAAGGTCAGAATTCTCATCATAACTAAGCGTATCACATAAATCCCAATAACTAATAGGTTAGGAACAGAGCAGCCTGCTTCATTCTCATTTTCCTTTTACAGTCTTTCAGAGATATACTGAATTTACCTAGTGAGAAGGCAGCAAAGACTTTGGTATGTTCTGAAAGCGTGCAATTGCTCTCTTTCTGTAATTATTCAACTGTAAGAATGAGTCATTTGTATCTAAAACAACTTTTGAGCAAGAAGTTCTGATAGAGGAGGAAAGAAGGGCACTAAAGGCAGGAAGTATACTGAACCTGGTGTGGTCCACTCAGAGTACTTATCCATCACTTTAATTATTTCTGCACCGTATTTTTCCAGTTTGTCTTCTGTGACACCATCAATCTGCAGCAGAACCTCCACATCAGAGGACAAAGTTTCTGTAAAGTAACAAAGTAACAATCAAGATGCCTCAAACGGGCTGACTTTTTTAAAAACCAAGATCATGACATTCTGGAGGAAACGGATTCCTTTCGTGCCCCCCTGTGCACTAAGTTCTCAAGGAAGTAGCTTTCACTCTAGCAGATTTGCTTCTCATTGACTAGCACAAAAACAAGTCCAAGAGTTTTCTCTGCCAATGCTTCCCAGTTTGTGTTGTGGCCCCATCACTGGAGTGGCTCCTGCACTCACCCAGCAGGGCCACCACAGCACAAAAACCACAGCTCAAGGGTCCCAAGAAACAAAAAGCTGCTATTACCTGCGATTTTCTTCAGCGTTGAAGTACTGAAAATATTGAAGTAATGCACGTCGAACACTTTCCCAAGCGTTTTGCACATGTCTGTAAGTTCCCCCAGGCACTTCTTAACCATCTCTTCCCGCTGTGACATCTTTGCCAAGGAAGCCCTTTGCTTCCTGATGGCGCTGGCGCTTTCCGTTTCGTGAAACTCCACCTGTTAAAACAAGTTGGGAACTTCTGTCAGGGGAGTTACTGCAGAGCCATCATTACACAGGAAAACAGCGAAGGAAGCCACAAGCATTCTCTGACGGACCAAACAGAGCTATTTGCCCAGTGTACACTTTTAAAGTGATTTTTACATGGTACCCAGCGGAGAACTAGCAGAGCGTACACAGTGCAAGGAGAAAAGTCCCAAGAACTCGGTTCACAGCCAGCTTTGAACAGAGGTCGCTAGGTCTAATGCTGAGGGCTCCTCTCTTCCCTAAACCCAGCGCTAATGCAGAGGAGATGTTGCCTCAAGTAGTCCTGGGCCTGGTTCTGTGACCTTCTTGAAGTGCATTTTCCATCAGAGCTCACCAATGACTGGGGAAAAAAAATAGAGCAGAAAATGCAGGAGAAGGTAGTGCTGCTCCAGCTGGCTTTTTCTAGGTTGGTCATAACTTTCCTTTCCTGTCAAGCTGGAATCAGATAGATGGGTGAGAAACAGATTTCATCCTCTCCAGTCTTTTCAAACTCACCTTAACATTATTGTTAGAATGCTGGACGAGAAATGATGCTTGTCAGATTCTGTTCCTCGTGTCTGCTTAAAATTAAGTTCCTGCACCTCAGCTGGTGGGCAAACTAGGTTTAAACTATCCCAGGGCATACGCTGCATGAAAACTGTAGCATGTCCCTTATAATGATGTATTGGGGAGAAAAAAATCCCTTAAAATTGTTACACACCTGTAGTGATCCACCAAGCACAGCCTGAGCTCTCTCCCCCAGCGTTACGTATGCAACCGCCTGGTCGTTAGCTGTGATGTACAAGTCTTCGTCCAGAATCTTGTCCAAGACCAGCTTTCTAAACAACCTTTCAATGTTGTGCCTGGAGTAGGCAGACCCCTTCCCAAATATCCCAGACTGAATCTTGGCGCTCGTTTTACCTGTGCGACAGAAACCACGGGATTAGCCTGTGACTGGCGAGCCTGCGCACACACGTATTTACAGACCAAGGGGAGATTCCTGGGGCTGTTCCACAGTATATGCACATAAAAGCCAACACGTTTAAGCCCCAGAAACTCCAAGCACTACCAGAAAACTCATACTATCGCTACAGCAACCTGAAATGGATTAAAGCTTTAGTCTCGTTCATTTTGGATCATTTACCACCGAGAGATTCCCAGCAATAACAATACTGCAAAATATTTCTTCTCTGAAACCGCTGCTGGCGTTGCGCAGACCTCTCATACCAAGCCAGGAATTTGTGCACAAGTGGATTTAGATTCTGTTTCTGCAAGAACAGGACTTACCTAAGAAAATGTCCACCATCATATTCAACGTGTATCTTCCAGAACCTGTATTTTTCTTTGCACTTGTCCGTCTCATTTGCCCACAATGCTCTTGTACAAATCTGATAATGCTCTTCACTTCATCTGTTACATTTCTCGATTTGTAATCCTATTAGGAGAGACTTGATTAGGAAACAACCTTACGCGGTTCTGTCCTAACACAAGTTGTTACTGACAACCTTGCTTTTCATTGTTGAGCTTTTTCCATTCACAAATTAATTTTGGTCCAAACAGAGGAACAGCGATTTTCTAGTTACTATGTCTACAGAGATGCAACATAGTCACAGGAATTCTGGATTTGCGAATACAACGGGATATATGCAGTCACTTGGTGTGTTAATTCACTGCGTGAGCTGCCAGGTTGCTGTGTGAATGCTGGCAACCCAGGTAAATCGTTTGGAAAGCGTTCCTGTCATCATTCTGCTGCCACGCACTACAACTTACACCTCCACCACACAATAAAATGAGGAGACTGGACTGAATGTGCATTATTCTCAGTTAAATTATGTTACAACCACAGCTGCGCAGGGGAATGCTCCAAACACAGGACTGAGCAGCGGCACCAGCAGGTGTAGAACTGGTTTGGTTTGGAGATCAGCAGCCCTTCCCTCTCTGCTTCAACAGCCATCGTCTCTTCTACTCCTGTTCATGCCACCAGCAACTTTGCTTCAATGCTGGAGGCACAAACCCAAACCTCTGGGCCACCTCAAGCAGCGTCACCTGCTCACACGGCACTTGCAATACCCCGGCAGCACAAAGCTGACTTGAAAACATTTCCCCACAGCCACTCCAACTTGTATTAGCTCCTGCCTCCTGTAAGCACTGCAGCCGAGAAAAATCGACGCTATGGAATATCCTTACACCTCACGAGTCCTCCTCTCACAGAAAGAGGAGCATCAGAAGCGCACAGATAGTCTGTGTAATGCTACTCTAGGTTAAACTCTGAAAATAGTTGGAAGCATCTAGCACCACAAAAATACAAGACATCTCATTTTCTCTGTTTACTTTCCCAAATATCACATAGCTGGTTTTTTTTTTAATGCAGCTAAGTGCAAAAATCAATTCAACACTGCAAGTAAGAGCTGTGATTGTTACCTTCTTTCTACTGCAGTTATCGCAAGTTACTTCTGGGTGATCTTTACAGAAGTTGGGATTAAAGTCTGTTTCCCCGAAGTAGGCCAAAAGCTGAATCCTCCGGCAGTCAACGACGTTCTCACAGTAGTGAACCATACTGTACAGGTTGTTAAAGTGCGTCTGTCTTGTGTGACTGTTTCCATCTTTCTCCACTGGAATGCAATAAATTCAATTTTATTTGTCAAACCCGCACCTCTGCATTTTTATGTATTTTCAGACAGACAAAACACAATATTCTTTGTCGCTAAAGAAAAAGATGAGTAGGCTATCACAGAACTAACTCAGGACAGATTTTATCTCTCAAGTTTCAGAGAATGGAGAAGGGAGATGGCAGGAGGGTTGGAACGAGATGATCTTTAAGGTCCCTTCCAACCCAAACCACTCTGTGGTTCTAAATAGGACAAGAACCAAGAGACAGATGTGTAAGAAGCAAAATGCTTTTGACAAAAACGAGGTGCAAGTGACAAAAATCTTTCATGAAAGAAAACCATTCAGACAAAGGTGCATAGTTCTCCCGTCTTTGCCATGGGAATATATACCTTATACATTCCTTACTGCATAGGGCACTTCCCAATCAAAAATAAGCAGAGACCAGCAACGAAGTGGCTTCTGCAATCCTGTCTGCATTTTGCTACGAACACGAGAACTCACTCATGATCAGCCTCCTCAGTCTGGTCACGTCGCTGTAGCTATAGAAGAGCAGGCAGTGAGACATTTCACCATCTCGTCCAGCTCTGCCAGATTCTTGGTAGTAACCTTCCACAGACTTGGGAAGAGAAGCGTGGATAACATAGCGCACGTCAGGTTTGTCGATGCCCATTCCAAAGGCAATGGTGGCACATATAACCTAGAAAGGAAATAACTTTCTCCATGTAACCAGTTGTTATTCATGGAGACTCGGCAGGCTGAAAATAGGTGATCAGGATTAGGAAACGGTGCAGGACGCAGAACTGCACCCTGGAGCGGCGCTGAAATCTTCCATTTGTAGAGCTCCCAATCAGAAGCTGGTCAACATGTTTGGGCAGAGCTGTTCCACTCGGTTATCTAACACTGCACCCAGCCTGGCAGTAACGTTACACAACTTCACTTTCATTTACTACGCCAAGAGAGGCAAAAGTGCTCTAAGTTCTATTCACTTCTTTCCCCCCTCAGCTGCTTTTCTTTTACCTGGCAACCTTCCTGATTAATCCACTTCTTCTGTACCAGATCTCTGTTGGCGTCAGTGAGGCCAGCGTGGTAGGCAAGCGCAGCAAGACCTTCCTTCTGCAGAATAGCTGCTGTTGTGTCACATTCGTGACGTGAAAGGCAATAAATTATTCCAGAGTCATCTGCAAATGTATTAAAAAAAAAAAATTTGTGTTACAACACAGCTTAATTCCCTTTCACTTCCTAAAAGTCACAGCTGTCGAGCAAACAAATTCATTCCAACGGGGAGAATTTGGTAAGTGTAATGTGATAACTGCTTAATAACAAAGAACAGGTTTTATTAGTTTCTCCTCATCCAATATCCTGGTTTTTTGGTGAGGTGGAATCAAGAAAAGATTTCCTTCTCAGTACTGTGCAACATTAGGATTTAAAACAGATGAATAAAGAGCTACATAAGTCGGGAGCTGGAGCAGTTTAGCGAGCGGTACATGAGGGTGCAGCGCCAGCGAGGCTGTGAGGGGAGCTGGCCGGGGTCAACCTCCAGCAGCAGGAGCTGCAGGACTCCAAAAGCGAGCCTAGAAAGACAGGAATCTGCAGTTATCCTCAAGAGGACCCACACACAGCAGAGCAACGGAATTAAACAGTTAGAACGGCGGAGACTTTATACGCTGAAGACACGACACTAAATGGCCTGGCAGCCTCCAGCAGGATTACTCAAGGGCACTACCATAACTTACTTTTCCATCTTAAACTCTAATAATAATAAAAAAAATCTGATGGCCATTATCAATAATAGGATTTTGTCTCCAACTTGTTTTTCTTGTAAATATATTAGCTGCTTACAGCAGGGCACAAGTTTGGGGTTTTTACAGCATTATAAAAGCTCCTCCTGCCTTAAAACGTAGTTCATAAAACCAGCACACCGGGCTGCTCAGTACTCACGTGGATGATATTTCTTAATCCATTCCAAGCAATCCATTGCCACCTTCTTCGGCTTCTTGGGCAATACATCGTATTTCAAGTTATGTCTGTTGAAGCTCATCGTAAACCTAAAACATGACAGTTTGTGCTCGTCAGCTTTATGGGTGCACGGAGCTGGGTGTCGACTGGAACGTCACAAATTCACCCAACTGCCACTGGTTCTGCCGTATCTGCAAAGAAATTATTGTTCCACTAGGCCCACAGAGATTCAGGCTGCCCACACGGTGGGTCTAAAATTCCCGCATTTTTCCTGTGGCTGTGAAAAAACCCCATAGCTACATGCCACCAGGAAGAAAGACAAAATGCACATTTACCAAACACACAGGCAGCGATTTCCCTTGTCTTCATTTTCCTTTTGAATATTTGCATCTGCATCTGATGCCTTGAATTTGCAAAATACAGCGTCACCTCCCTTCTACCCTAAATTACATTTCTAAGATGAGAAACCCAACAAAACGCTTTGTTTTCCCATCACGTCCCCTGAAAACACTACAATACAATCCAGGCCCAATGGTACCTCATTAATTTCATTACTGCCAGTGCTAATTAAGAAACACTTCCAGGTTTTGCAGTTTCCCAGCAGTCTCCTGAAAAGCACCCTAAAATACAACTTGCACATTTTGTCAGTGACATAGAAAATAATGTGATGAAATTTTCTATTAAACAGCTTCCTTAATCACACAAGGAAGAGTTTGGCAAGATTTTTTTCATCTTCTTTTAATATTCTGCATACAACTTGCATTAAATTCCACACAGACGTTCTCATTTAATCAGACACGACTGCGTAAGTGTTTCAGACAGACCACGTAACACTTCTCTTACTTTACTAAGTTTTCCATCCAAAATTTCCATGCCACGAATTGCTTCAGGAAACTGGTGAGCAACTTACACTTGTGGCTTTAGCATCTCAAGCTGGTTCTGAATATCCTTCTGCACTCGGGGGTTAGCAGTGGCAGTGAGAGCCATCATAGGAACGGAGCGAAACTTCTTGCGGAGCATGTTCAGTCGCTTGTAGTCTTGTCGAAAATCGTGGCCCCACTAGTCAAAAAACAAAATTTCAGCATAACTGAGTGAGATGCTCCAACTAAGCCTTTTGCCACTTTGAAAACCAAATCAAGGCCTTTACCTGGCTGACACAGTGGGCCTCATCGATGACAAAACGCGCCAGGAGTTTCCTGTCGTAGAGGTTTTCCAGCGCTGACATCAGGCGGCCGCTTGCACAAATCTACACACACACCCAGCAGCGCCGTTAGAAAGGCAAAGAACAGAGCCACGGGTCGCTCCGCCTGACTCGGAGCACACAAACAACTGCTCTGTGCAGCAGTGTTAATCACAGCCGCACCGGTGAGGGCTGAGAGCGTAAAGACCCGGCAGTCGGCTTCATTTTAACTGGCACCGAAGCAGTTGGTGCAGGATTGCCACAAAGTTCTAGGATCATCAATCCCCAGGTCCTACGACCCAATGACTTGTGAAAGACAAGGCTGAAGAAAGTCCACTTCTTGCAGAACTCTTGTGGAAGAACGTAATTTTCAAGGCAGCACAGAACTAGGTACAGGGCATCTTCTGACAGTCACGTACTGCCTTGACGGCGCTTTTCCCTGACACCCTGCTCGTAGCACCCTAACAGCTACCTGGCAGCAGTCAGCCCCTAATGCCCAGCGAGATACACTGGAGTGGATGAGCATGGGGGTCTCACTTCAAGAATCCCGATTGTATAGACTCAGTTCTCATTCTTGGTTAATTACTGATTGAAATTAGTTACAGCTGTACAGTCTTACTGAGCCATCTGAAAAATGTTTAACATTTTTTCCCCCCCAGAAGCCTACTCTAAGTTCAGTATTTCTCCTTTAATACTTCATAGTAATCCTCCTCTTGGAGCCTCCATGGTTTTACAATTCAAATTAAATACTAACCTTCTCAGGGGTAACATACAGAAGCTTTATTACAGGATCTTTTTTTGACATTTGCATATATATTTTGGAAGCATCAGTATCTGTTCTGTCACCGGTCAGGTACGTTGCAGCAATCTATATTAAAAAAATATTTCTGTTTTAATACGAGCAAAATAGAAGAACCTCCAAATATAGTGCTACACCTAGTTATAAAACAGACAAAAATGTATTTGCATTTACTGTCCTCAATGAACGTAACATTTTCAACGCTGCTTTGCATAATTACAGAGAACATCTGTACCCCCACTGTACTGTGCACATCACAGAATTTTCCTAGTGATAAACCCAAAAGACTCTAAGCCAAATTCTGTTCTTCTGCTCCCAGTTCTACCAAGAGCTGACTTAGGGGACTTGTCTGCTCATTTACTTCCTCCTAGACAAGTACAGGTGGTTTTTACAGCTTCCATCTAATCAATATTTTGCAGTTTGTATTCAAGAGATGTTAAGAATTACCATAAAACTTCTGGTTTCTAATTCACTTATCTGCAGTTCGACTCGATAAAGCTGTTTGAACTCACATCTAAGGTGTTCAGCTTCTGAACCTGATCTATTATCAACGACCTCAGCGGAGAGATAACAATAGTGACTCCAGCGGAGACGCACGCTGGCAGCTGGTAGCACAAGCTTTTACCCCCACCTGTGGAGGACAAAACAGAGCACAGCGAGCGTTAGATGTCAGGAGGAAAGGGAGATGGCCTGAAGAAGGAGCACGCCCAGAAAGAATACACTGTTACCCACGACTGCCTCTCACAGGACACGTGTAGGACAGGGCAGAGTCATCGTACGAGATATTACGGAAGGCAGAAACTTGACAACCTCGTTCAAAACGCCACAGCACATAGGGCATTTCAGAAATCCCGCAGCCACAGAATTCCAGCAGCACAAATTTATCGCCACCTCCATGAAGGCACGGAGAAAAAGGGGTAGTTTGCCACCGGCCTTACAAAAGGAGCTTATGGTCTTTATTTCTTAAGCGTGTGCCTGCCACTGGGACCTACCGGTGGGCATCAGGATGAAGCAATCTTCCCCCAGAAGAGCGGCGTTGATGGCCTCCAGCTGATTTGTCCGAAAACTGTGCAAACCGAACTTTCTGTGAAATACAGCCATCATTTCTTCAGAATGGGGAAATTTCATACCTCTGAAACGTTCTAGTGCAGGGTTATTAACCAGCAGATCTAGGGGACAAAGAAAACGTGCTTACAAGAAGTGACAATCCCAGGTCGCGCCATCCCTCCTGCAGTGCGAAACTGCTTCACTAGAACAGACAGCTTAACCGCCACTTCAACCCTTTAAACTCAAATCTTGACTTACTGGGGGGGAAAAAAAAAAAAATTGCATTCATCTAGAGTTTAAGCCCAGCTAAAGTATGAATTTTGGTTATAGGTTTGCTTCAACAAGTGCCCGTTTTTGAACACTTTGCACAAACAGCCGAAGCTGTCGTACTGCTGTGAATTAACAACTGCAGAATCATTATTTAATTAAAACACAGGCACATTCTCGTTTCCAATTTTAGCTGCTCTGTCTTCCCAGCAGGCAAATAAATATTCAAGAAGTTTGACATCACTTGGAGGAAAAAAACCTTGAGGATGACTTTGCAAAAAGTCAAAAGAAGCTTCCACAGAAACAGAGGGCATTGATGGAATCTACAGTAAGTTACTTGGTCTTGGGTTTAAAAACAAGTAAACACAAAATTTGAAAAGTAGAAGATAGGAATCCTGACAAGTGTAATTTACCAGAACGGTTCTTTGTTGCCATTGAGAAGCTTGATTTCAGAGCAGCAGGACTCGACAGAGCAGCAGATCCTTCGGCTCTGGACATTATCTTGGAGAGCAGCGATGTGGTGGGCGGCCCTTCCCGCACGGGCTGGCACGACGGCCGCGCCTCAGGTGCCGAAACGTTCACTGAATCCTCCCAGCCCTCGTCAAAATCGTCGATATTCAAGTGATCGAGGTCAAAGTCCGTCCCATTCCTACCCAAACCGTTTTCTGCGGGAAGGCCAGTGGCCGCCCTGCTCTGAGCTCTCGGAGCCGCGCTGGCCAGGGGCCTCGCCAGCAGGTGCCCGCTCCCACCAGCGCTCAGCCCGGGGGAACCTCCCGCTTTGCCACCAGCCTCAGACGATGACGGGCAGCCCATTCCCTCGCTTCTTTGCTTCGAAGTGTAAGAGGTGTCCAAGGCTTGGGGGTTTTTGGTTGAAAAACTGCTTGAACGAACAGTCCCAAGCAAGAGGCTGGTGGGTTTGGGCGAGTTTCTGTCAGAACTGAAGCTCCAGTTGGGGCCAGAAGGCAGAGCGGGACTGTGACAGGCAGGAGGGCCCCGCTCCACACAGGTTTTGCTCAAAGTGACAGAATTAGCCAGCAATTTTCTCCTGGGAGAGATAGGAAGGAAGGAAAAAAAAATCAGTCACAAGCAACTATTTATCAAGTTCTACAATACGCATTAAAACTTTGTCTCTTTCCTATTAAGAATATTGACACATGGTGGATACATTGTATTCTGTGTCTCTGTATTTTATAAACATTTCAAACAAATCCAGCGAAGATAGAAAAATACCAGAACTCAGTTGAACAAAATAATTACAGAATTACTACGTCTTCTCTGCAGACATAAAACAAAAGAACTCTGAATAGTGAGGAACTGATCCAGGCAAGGTAGGACATTAAAAAAACCACAGGAAAAGAAGGAAAAGAGGAATCCTTAGAGGCACAAGCCTGAAGTTAAAAAAGTCAAAAGATGCTTGAACCAAATGACATTTTTATGTGCTTTCTAAAGACTATGTGTGACTCTAGTAAAAAGAGGCAGTAGAGTAAATTAGTCCTACTGAGAACACTCAGGAAAAGCACATAATCCCACTCTAAGAAGGAAAAACAAAACAAAATCCCCATCTCAGTCCTTTGTCTGTGCATTGTGCCATCAGGCTACGCGGAGGTTAAGGCAGCAGATCGCAGCAGCAATTATCAGGTTGAAAGATGGCAAGTACCTGGCACAGGTTGCCCAGAGAGGGGGTGGCAGTCCCATCCCTGGGAGTTTTTCAGGCCAGGCTGGATGGGGCTCTGGGCAGCCTGATCCAACCCCCAGGGCAGGGGGGTTGGAACTAGATAATATTTAAGGTCCCTTCCAACCCTGACAATTCGACGATTCTATGAATTCTATGATTCTATTAAGAGAAGGTATAATTGCTGTAGTTGGCTACAGCCATCTCAGAGAGAGAATATGAAATGAACAGCTCTGGCTGCAAGAGCTCAGGACGAGATGTCACCTTCCAGAGAAAAGCCTCAGACCGAGGCGGAACTGGGTTCTCTCTTCTGGCAGAACACTGGGACCGTTAATACTTTGAGCACTCGGGGTACTGCTTTCCAGTCATCCCAAGGGTTTTAACAAATCCTCCCGCCCGCCAGGTCTGGCCGGTGCGATGGAGACACCTGCAGGCTCCGCAG